TGAGTCACTAGGCCTAACCACTATTCAGACAAATTTATTAGCTCATAGGCTCGGTATGGTGAAAGTAAAAAGTGGGCTTTTTACCCCCTAAAGAAGTCATATTCATAGTATTGCACCTGGCATAGGTGTTCATTTTTATTCAAAACTTTCTTGAACATCTGGGCCTGCAGATGGTTTTGTCTTTCACTTGAGGGGGTAAAGTATGACCTTTGAACAGCTGGGTTATCGCTGCTCCAAACATGCGTGAAGATACACCATGTGCACTCATTTGCGTGTAATTCACCCCATTATTACATGAACGGCTGCCAGTGCCTTGAAACCAGAACTCAAACTTGCTTGGAACGGATCGCTTGCTGGTTATTACAGCATCATTTACTGGAGCTGAATAGCCCTCTGTTGTTGTAGCATTTACTACACCCTCTAGAGCTTTTATCTCGTGCTTAATCTACCTTTAATAGATCAACAACTTGCTTAACAATATTATTATGCTGTAAGTTACAAAGAACTTAGGAATTCTACTGATGGGTATTCTCTGTATTGAAACCAAACTCTGTTGCTTCAATTGGCGTGTGTAATCAGATTTAGAACTTGGATGTGGTCAGGCCTGACCTTTCTACCAATCATTGCCTCAGTTGGTTCTTGATTATCGTGTCGTTAGGATGTACTTGGTTGAAGAGGGAATCACTTATTCTTTTTGAGTGGAATATCCTATTCAGGGAGATACGGATCAGAATTAATGGATTTTTAGTTCAGGAATGTACAAGAAGTTATACTATCCGAAAATGAAGGAAGGTGTGAGATTAGTCAAGTATACAAAGTAAGTGCATTCCCCTAATCATTGATGATTATTTTGAGTCGGAGGGATTTCCGTTTGTGAATCAAAAGATTACATTGCAGCGTGCTTTTCATCTACTGTACTCAAGAGTTTTTTGCTATGTGGTCTGGAACGCGTTGAACACGTATGACATCTATTTTGATTTTTCTCATGATTTTCAACTTCTTTATTTTATTTTTTTCTTGGATGAATATAGATAGCTATGTGTTGTTTTTTTTCTGATGATATTATTTTAAAGTTTGAGGAACCCTAGTTATTGTAGTACCATAAATAGCAGGTAGCACATTTTACAGATTAACGTTTAATTATTCAGCAAGTATTCTTGTCCATACTGTAGAATTTTTCAGGTATTTTTTTTTTCTGTTTTTATAATATAGGCCTACATTACTCCTTAAGTTTTAGTTTCCCTATATGCCTGAAGTAATCTAAAACTTAAAGGTTGGCATAGTCTATCAATGCTTCATAGTTCTATTTTTAACATTTTTAATCATTTGTATATTTGTCTATGATATTCAATTGATAATAATAATTTTGATGTTAGGAATGTTTGTATTTATTCATAATTATGGTAGTGATGATAGTAATGATAGTAATGTCTGATAATGAAAATGAAAAGTAAATAAATGATAATATGAATTACTGTAATTATTAAACTATTTGGTAATTTCCTAAGTATATTTAATAATTTAATCTTGGATTCTTTTAATGTATTTGTACATAATAGATTTATGTCTGTAATAAAAATCTTCTTAGCCTTTGCTGTATAAAAAAATATAATAAATAAATATATGTAAATTATCTAATGTGTAATTTTTTAATTAACTTGTTGAGGGTTTACTTCAAATTTTATTGCCAAAATTATATTTAAAGAAAAATATAGAATGTTCATTTTTTACAGACCTAGTTATACATCACAACAACCATAATAGGCTCATAACTTTGCAAGTAAACTCTAGTAAACCTACAGAAAAATGTAGGACAGTGTAAATAGTTGAACCTACCCTCTTTGGATTATGAGATGAGCACTTATCCACCTAACCATAACAAGAGATCTTAAAGGAATTTATTGGTCTGCTGATTTCTAACGATTGTCATCCTTTCGAAGAGTCATTGGAACTAGGACATCATATTTTGAATCGTTATTTTAATTAGTATAAATAGACAATTAACGAATCCGAGATAATCAAACGATAGATTATAATTATTTAGTGGCCTTTTTAACCTCCTATTTAAATCGCAATATATTTTACAGAACCACAGATAATATTTATTGTAATAGATTGATGAATAATGGAATAATCCACATTTTCTCATTTCCATCATCGCAAGTAATGTATTACATTCTTTATCACAGCGGCAACAAAGATTATATCATAATTTGGAGGCGCGGATTGAATGTTGATGATGCGGTAATCTGCCAATTTTGACCCCGCATCGTTTTTGCTTTCGAAGTTAATGTGGATTTTGAACGCATTGCGGATTGTAATTACTAGTAGTAGCTTACAGAATCTTGGGAAATCTCTAGGCTATGGATGATAACGCTATGATTCCTAGGACATTGGTATGCTTTTAAGAAATTGGAACCCTGTATTATTGTCGCAACGACATGCCGTGCGTGTGGGATTCATCGTGTAACAGGGAGTAGCACAGTAACAGGGAATACCACGGTAGTTCAGTGTTTCTTTTTTTTTATGTGACTTGCTCATGTGATGTGATCATATGATAAGATAGTGTAATGTGATTATGTTATGCGATCATGTAATGTGACTTGCTCAAATGTGATGCAATCATGTGATATGATTATGTGATCATATTGTAATATGACCATGTGATGTGATCATGTGATGTGGTCATGTAATGTGATCATGTAACTAGAAATAGGATAGTTCAATGTGTTGTATTTTGTTTAATGTGACTTGCTCATGTGATGCAATCATGTGATATGATCATGTGATGTGATCATTGTAATGAAATCATGTTAATGGGACCATGTGATGTTCTGTTTTCATTGGCCTACCATTAAAATGTAAATGATTTATATTATTATTCAGCCAAACATATTTTAAACAATGTTTACATTTTGTTAATAAGAATTTTTACTTGAAATTAAAATGTTAAAGTTTATACATACCAGCTAAAGTTTTTTTTTAAATAAGGAAAACAGCTGTTAACCTAATAAAAAAATCAATAGCACTTTAATAGTTTGATTATTAAAAGTGAGAGTGAAAATTAATGAAATTGGAGTAAAGTGTATTTCTGGTTTAATTATTTTTTAAAGTGTACAATAATAATATGAATGATATCTTAAAATTTGGATTCTCTGCTTTTAACATCAAGAATCTTTCAACAAATTTTGCCCTTTTGTTCGCATTATCTCATGTCAATAATCTTAAGTGTATTCTTGTTAGATACAATCAAAAGCTATAACTTTATCAAGCGCACAAAGATCTTATGTAAACATTAAACATCTTTGTGCACTTCTGATGTATTCTGTAGTGTGATTGTTTTGCGGCACTAGTTATCCTGCGTTCAACAGCAGTTTTTTCCTAATATTTGCCTACACCCTCGAGCACAAATTACCTATTGGCTCAATAAGAAGCTTTATAAGTGAAGCAGCCTATTATTTGATGTTCATTGTGCTGAGAGAAATGAAACTAGGAATCAGAAAAGATGATCAACTTCTGCTTCTGGTTTTGTTGTTTTTATAACTTTCATATTAAAAGCTCATTCTTCAAAATCGAGGGTGGCGTACCCTGGATACATACATACATTCAATGGGAATAGAATAATGAATACATGAGTCATATACTTCATATATTTTTCATAATTTTTTATTTTCTTTTGGGACATCCATTTGCCCAATAGATAGATAATCCTTTATTCTACTATATTTTTTTCATTTATATTGTTATTGTTGCTGATTTTATATTTGCATTGAGTAACTAGAGCAAATCACTGTATCAGTAAAACATATTGTACATATTCTCTCTTTTTCATACAGTACCTGACTCTTTTTTCTATAGTAAATATAGTTATATACTTGGTTTCAACATGCAGTTCAATTTATTAAACAACTCTATCAGTATATGATTCTTCAGGTTGATATTAAAATGTTGCTTTTTACAAATATCTTGGTCATTTCAACTAGTTTCAACTTATCCGATTCTGGACATTTTTAAATTGTTTATTTAGCAAATTGTATCTATGTGTACATTTCATCGTGGTGTTTATATCGTAATGGCTGACAACTCAAACAAAATCATATAACTTTATATGATTTATGAGGAACTTGTTTTGAATTTCAAAGTGAATTTGTAAAGTCAGAGGTTAGCAGTTGTACAGTAAGCTGGTATTCAACAGTAGTGTTCTTTTATTCTTAAATTCAAAGAAATATCTGTAAGTTGGAACATATGCAGGAAGTTTTCTAACAGTTTTTTTTATTTATTGGGATATATATTAATTCTCCATTTTGTTTCATGGTTATTTTATGAATAACAGAGTTATGTAACGCAAGCAAACTAAATGCTGTTTTAACTTTCAGTTTCCTTCATAATTAATTTCTGGTATTCCTCATTGCGTCATTGAAAAAAAAAAATGAGTTCCCCGGATGCCAACTGATAACTTCATCAGGAAATGTTTAAATCCATGAGGCTTAGGGAATGTAGTTTTTTTATAGTCTCGTGAGAAAAATCATAGTTTACCGGATTTGAACTCTAAACCCTGCTACTGGAAAGTGAACATCTTACCACACCATTTAGATATATATTTATATATATATATAAGAAAAATTACTGTTTAAATCATTTAACTGTTATTTTTCTTTGTTTTTAATAACATGTTATTTATTTATGGTAAAAATTTCTACTCTATAAAGTGTTCTACCCAGCAAACACAAAACGTTCTTATCATTCGCGAATGTTATAGTTACTCTAGGTATGTCATAAAATAACGTTGTAGGAATGTTTCAATGTCATGTAGTTGTTAAATTGTGTAAGTATGTTTTTATGGTTCTACATAATAATGTTTTCAACACCAAACTGTAACATTATTATAACATTCTTATAATATAATCTTGTTAGCTAAGTATATAGGTTCTTAAATCTTTCTATTTGTGGGCAGATTTTAAACAGGATTTGATTTGATTTTTTTTTTCTCGTTTTTATAGGAGGAAGAACATGGACGTTCAACTTTTCTGTGAGGATCATGTTCCTCTGAAGCCTACATCCCCTGATGTTGATGTAAGTTGTTGCTATAGTAACATAATTATTTCCGTATAGCATATTTCATTGCAATAACCATATTTGGTCATCCTCTACAGATTTTTAGTTTTAATGATAATAAACATGAATAATTCCGACTTATATAATAATACTGACATAATTCATATCCATTGGATCAATCACATATGGAACACATACATCGCCTCTTGGGAGATAATATCATAATGTTGCATCAGGACGAACTTATAACTCCTTCGTGAAGAGACAGTGACCCATCTTAACCTCTAAACCCTGATCTTTAAATTGAAAGGTCAAATCTTTCTTCTTCCTATTATATTGTATTGGATAGTGTTTTTTTTTTTTTTTTTTTTTTTTTTTTTGTTTTTTTTTTTTTTTTTTTTTTTGTCTCTTGTTAATTAATTCAAAAATACAAACACTTTGTCCCACCATATATCGTGCATGACAAATTATGGTTTTCCCATGGTTTAGCTTCACAAAATTATTAAAACTAGAATTAATTTGTTTTGGTATGGCTTCAATACTCAACAGAAGTAATCTAAGGTAGGAACAAATCCAACAGTAAAATAACCATTGTTGACAAGACTACAGGGAAAAAACATTATTTCCATTTCTGTCTTAAGGTCATTATAGAAGTGGTAAGTGGCAACCGATGATTGTTTAATGACACTATTAAATCTGTTGTACCGCATCCATTATCTACATTGCAAGTGTGTGAGCCAATTCCCGCGAGTCGTTATAAGAGATGATAGATCTCAGTATCTCAACTGGGGGAGTTAGAACGGGGAACGAACAGATCAGTTGAACTACTTTCTCTTAGGCGACTTTTCCAATCTACGGATTAAAAAATATGACAGTTAGAAGCATGAACCACGTTCTAAGTATCTGTGTCTCCTAACTAATTGTCCGTGAAACGTACTTACTTGAATGCTTTACATGAAATGTAGGTTATTAATGTTTTTTGTGTAATTGATTCTAGTGTTACAGACTGAGCAAGAGACATTTTTGGATTGTTGATCATATTCAATTTATTACATGAATTTCAACATGAAGAAAAATTAGGTTAATTTTAGTAGAATTAGTAATGTTTGTAAATTGCTTTTGTCTCATAGCTTACATTAATTTAATTTACTAAGTAGATATCATAAAATGAAGTAAATAAGAGATAACAAATTTTATGTCATAGAATGACTTATGACAGTAAACATGTAGACACCATGCTGGAAATTTACTAGCGGCCCATTTGTTTAAGAAGCACAAAAAAAATACTTGCATTTATACTGACAACATCTTTGATTATTATGATAGCGAGTCAGTATCAATATTGTACTATTGTACTGGCACGGTTAATATTTATTTAAAAATTTCAGATTGAATAGTTGAAAAATGTTGTATGGCAGCAATTCCAAAATTTACATTATTCATTTTGTAAAGAAGACCCCTCTTTAGTTTGCAAAAGTAATCTCGAAAAGAAGCCCATCTAGAAAACAGGGCCACGTCAAAAAAAGGCTCCTAAAAAAAATAAGCTTTTCAAGGTTTTAAAGTATTATTGGAAGCAATTCAAAGGCAAGTGTTGGACCTTCAGTAGAGGATTTGGTTGATTTTGCTTCTTTTTTTTTTTTAGATTAAAAGTATTATTTCTCATACGTAGAGGAATATCAGCCTAGCTGGAGGAATATTGAAATAGATAATTAAACTCAAATTTCACTCATTTTTACATGTTATTAATAATCTTGAAAATAATTCTTTGTCTCCAGTTCTGAAATATTTAATGGATAACTATTTTGGTTGTCATCGTTGCATAAAGGTCATAGGTAACATATATTTTAGTGACGCCAAGTATTGTAAAATCGCCAAAATGCTTTATTCATCTTCAAAAAGTTAATAGTACCCATCTAATACAGCTTAAGACATTTATGGGCAATAAAAAGCAGTGCCGTGAGTATCAAATTGAAATAAAATATCATTTTGTGTTTAATTCCACATTTCATAAATGTTTTTTTGGTAATAAATATGTCCATATTTCAAGATATATATTTGTTGCCAAGATTATATTCCCTCTTATTAACCAGCAGTGAACTTAATTATTAGTACAATCACCATCCATTAGATGATATCTGGCCATCGACACGATGTTGTGTGTCTTCATACCCTTACTTTTTTGTAAAAAAAATTGTTTTTATTTTAAGGTTATTATTAAAGTTTTAAGCCTCATTACAGCTATAAATATTTAATCCAATTATTATTATTATTTAAACATTATTAAAACTTTAGATATGACTAGGAGCTTACCAGAATTTAATTACTCTTCTTTTTCCTTCTTTGCATTACATAATTCTAGGGATTTTTTTTTATATATATTTATTATTTTTAATATTTATATTTATTTTACTGTAGCTTATAATTTTAACAAATCATAGGATGTAATTGTTGATATTTTTTTTATTGTAATACTTTTATATTATGTACAGTACATTTTGTACACACGTTTCATCAATTTTATTTAATTTATTTTATTGTATCAGTTTATATATTTAAATTATTGTGAAGAATCACACCTAGTTTTAATGTCAAAGACCCCTGTATGGAGTCTTTAACAATGGAAATATCGGATTCTCCTTCATAATATTAAACTTGTGGCCAAACTCTCCCATATTATACCACGAACTACTCTGACTGACAAGTCGACCATGAGTATCAACAATCCGTTAATCCCAGCGAATGCCGTACGGAACTCATCTATATCCGTGGTCATGGTATAATTCCACAGACCAGGATTAAAGTCGTGTCATAGACCGGTGTTCATGGGATTACTGTTTCCATTACAACGTCAATGTCTTCTCGTTGTCAGCGTGGTGAAACATTTAACAGTGTAACATCAGTGGTGCTCCATCTGTTCTAGTATTTCGGCACACTCTACTTTTATATAGAATTCAAGATCAAACCCATGTCTACATTTATTGTAATTTCTTATATGATTAATTAAAAATTTAAATTATAAATTATAATAAATAATAATAATAATATTTTTTAAAGATACATATTCAAGTTTTATAATAAAATAACTGTGATAAAACAGTAATTAAAAAAAGTAATATAAAGATTAAGATACATATAAAGTAATAATATTTATATATTTAATGATAATAATTATATATTTATTATTGTCTAAGAAATAGAAATAAGTGAAGACACAGAAGATCAAGCCATTATTAACTGTATTTTTTGTCTACCCAAGCATTCGTAGTGAGAAAAATACACAACTTACCAATGAAAAATTTATTCATGCTAGTTAGAAAGCAACATACAGTACATAGCACTAAAATAAACAATTTTCAACTAATGAATAAATAAAATATTAAAATTTGAATGAAAATGTAGAGTATATCTGATGTTTCACATTTTTTTATTTGAATGATATTTATTTTTGTTAATGTTTTATATTACAATATTGCTATATAAAATTTTAATCCAAAATTTTTTAAATATCTTTATTTTTAGTACCGAATTTCCATTCTTGTATTTTATATTTCATTTCATAGTTCCAGTAATCTTAATATTTAATTACCTCCAAGATTGAAGACTAAATAAAATACTTACAGTTTTAAATTATTCCTTCAGACACCATCAATTGAAAATGTTTGTGTGAGAAAAACTATTTAAAACTCCTTTATCTCAAAAAGTAGACAGTATGATAGATTTTGTAAATGATATCACTTAAAATGTATCTCAGACAACAAGTATATATATGGTAGATAAATTGAAGTGGTCGTAGCAATATAGCTACATACAGTATTGAACAATAAATGATTCCACTGTAAGTATGTAGATATGGTACAGTATTATCACATGCATACTATTATTGAAAAAGTAGATAACAAAACTCCCTTATATTTAATAGCATTTACACTGTTCAGTGAGATGAATAAATATTAATTTTCATTATTTTTCTGTCTGATAGAAGTGTTCTGTTGTAGATGTTTTACAAAACAGGTTTCATGCCTCAGTTGGAAAAGTTTAAATTTTGGCTCTTTCCCATGAAAAGCCAAGCAAATAGATAGAATAGATTAATGCCTATTATCAACAATGGTAGACAAGTTGTTTGACTATCTTTTTTCTCACGATAATAAATCTTTGGACCATATCCAACTTCAAGTTTAAGGTTAAAAGAATCTTTCTTCAGACTGTTTAGTGTTTTTTGGGACTACGTTTTTATGGGCGTTGGTAGAAAATTGTTTTGTTTTATTGGTATTGTACACTATTCATAAACCTGTTCAAGGTTATAGCTAGGTTCTGTGGGTTTAATATGCCATAATATATAGTAAATCACAGAAAATGTCCATTAACCACTTCATAGAAAATACCATTTTGTATCTGATCATAATCCTAAAAACATTTAAATATGTTGCTATATTTTAAACCACAAGGCCACAAGGTGGCTTCGACAAAACATAACAAGTTTAAAAATGTATAAAGATGAGACTAGTTCTTCTACAGTATATTTTCTCTTCATGAAGAAATGAAGAGATAAAAAATCTAAAAAATTTCTAAAAAAATTATTATCTTAAAGATAATTATTTTTTTTTAGTTATGCCTTTACTTATCAGTAAATCACTTATCACTTATTATTCAGGCCTAACCTGGTGTAAGTATGGCGTAATATAAATGGTTTATAGTCGAATGTAACGAGTAAAGCATGTGTATTTGTTTGTTTTGGCTTAATCTCTAATTCTTTTATTTGCCAAATGTATATCTTTTCTTAGAATGCACCAAATATATCGATTGTACATCCATGCCTATGCCTGTATTACTCAATGTGCTTGAAGGTGCTTGATTATCCTCTATCCCCACCCACCCATCAGCTCCTCATCTCAAGACTTCTAGTTAAGCCACTGCCTATAGGATTTTATATGTTTTATAGGGACTTACCATGCCAAAGCCAGCATTAATGACCAACACAAGAAAATTGACTTTTTAATATATTCATATTCTCTACATTTATAAGCTTAAAAATGAAGTATGCAGTACTGCCATGTTAATAGTATTCTAATTACTCAGTATAAATTTAGTGACAATATGCTGGTTTTGGGATGACAAGCCTCGAATGTTTTTGAAAAATGGAGGTGGCCCAATTAATGATACAGGAGTGGTTAACACACCATGTTTTGGGGTTTTTTTTTTATTTGTCCGTGATATTCATCTGAATATTAGTTTACGTCTGTATGTTTGATTGAGGTTTCAATGCCACGTATTATTTTTCCAACTAAATTATTAAGGATGGTGTTGAGTCACTCGATTGTTTGAGGTTCTTTAGCCTCAAGGCAAGTGGGTACGAAATCATGACTATTTGTTTACTTTAACCAGAACACAACAGCTTCTGATTATTGTTATACTGGCTAACCTCTTGTTAGCATGTTTATTGATCATGTGACTAAGTGGGTATCACCCAGCGCGATGGTTTAGTTACGATAAAAACACCGGGACTCCTTACCGTGTTCGCTGCAACAAAAATGACTCAAATTATTTTATGGTTGGTAATAATGAGGCAATCAAAATCTGTTATTATCAGGAGTGCAATCGTAATTTTAGAAGATTAGACTATTCGTCTGCAAAGTAGATGAAAAAGTAATTCGGTATTCAAATAATCTGGTCCTTAGGATATGATAAAAATGATGGAGGATAAGGAAAATTATTCAGATATTGTCATTTATACATTTATTTATTTATTTTTTGTGTTTCTTAATGTGTTAAATTCCAGTAAAGCATTCATAGAATATTCATGAAATACTAAGTAAATGTATTATTGTTAATTTATTTTCTTTGTATTTATTATTAGTATTATTTTTTCGTTTTATTGCAGGTTGAACTAGATTTTTTTGAATTCATAACCAAAATGCAGAGTAGTCGGTTGGACGAGCAGCGTTGTTCCATGCCATTATTGGCACCAGGGGTAAGTTCTATTACAAAAGTTTAATAAGTATATCAAAATTGTTTGTTTTATATATGTCGCTTTTTCTGCGTTCCACAGTGATTCATTTTATATATATATATATATATATATATATATATATATATGTTTATTTATTTAAAAAAATTCCTTTAATGATTTATGTTTGTATTTTTTTCAATCAAATAAGGATTTACGATCAGAATTAGGCCAACCACACAAATCTAAATGAAAACCAGATCAAATTATTTTAACAGATATTTTATTTTATATTAGGTGTTCAGTATTTCATTTCAGCACAGTGGAATAGTTCCATTATAGTTACAATCTGTATATAACTTACTTTACAGACCGTGACTGTTCTAGTTTAACTAGTCATTGACCTTCCATTCTATTAAAATCTGTTTTTAATGCTGTCTTTGTAATCTTTAGCAGGATGTTTTGCGAATAGTGTCTTTTCTGGATGAATACGTATCTGTTTAAACTTTAATGAACTTCAATCGGAAATTCCAAAATAAATGTAGATTACTTTAATCCATGTTGAATAGTTACCGTACTAAATTATTATAGATTACATTTTTTCAGAAATAATCATCTCTTTCTCTGTTTAGTTTATTTGTCTTCTATGGTACTGGAAAAAAAAAATTAAATTTGAAAAAAATAAAGAATTATATTTGTTTACTTTTTTTTTTTTTATCAAATAGTAGATATGCTTGTATCTCAATCATGTTTTTACTTTGAATATCAATGCACAGCAAACAACCCAAGGGGGATATTTGGCTTTAGAAAAAAAAAGTCGTCCTCCCTCATCATTTTTCCAGCCTAGATATGGTGATAAAAACTAATATTTTTTATAGGGCCTTAGCCTTTTTCACTATACGGTAGGAAAAGACCATTATCCGACGTAGTGCAAAAATAACTAAAGATATTCAATATGATATATTCATTAATGTATAATTTTCACTAAGATTAGTTTGAAATATAAAATTTGTTTTAAAAAGTGCAACACATAAGAAAATAGAAAAAACAGATGTTGACATAAAAGTGCAACAACTCCAAACGTTTTGTACTAATTCTGCCGGAGACGCTGAATAATTTATTTAGCTTTAGGACTTTCACCACCTAAAATTATGCCTTTAAGGCCGAACAATATGGTCCATTAGGCTATTGAATTATTATTAGGAGATTTGATTATACATTTATCTGCGAATCATTTGAAAAATGAGAGTGTGAATCAAATTTCGACTAAAATTATCCAAACAAAGGAAAATTTGACATTATTTTTCAACTTAACCTTGGAGAACAATACAAGAGATTAAGATAAACTAATAAATTTTGCTTACAGAGAAATGCATGGTCAGTGCATATTGATTTTTGTAGTAATACTGTATTGTAGTGTATTAAAATAAAATTTGAAAACATCGTCTTGTCAATTAGCGATGTTTGAAAGAATGCCGACGTATTCGTGCTGGATTAGTCTGTCCACAAAAAGGAGATGCAAACGTGTTTCTTTCAAGTTATGAACGCCTGAAGGTAATATCCAAATTTGCTGTAAGTGCATCAACGGGACAATGTATTTCACCACTGCTCGAGTTACTGCCATCACCACATTAACTGATTACAGCAAAGAACTAAAAATTCAATACCATGCAAAATATTTTTTTTTTTGTGTTCCATTAAATCTCTTTGAACGTCAAGAGAAGTCTTGTATTTATTTGGTCGCCGAACTCATTTCTAAGGAGTGATTACAACATATCATCTTTCACGTAGCACTTACTTAGTAACCAGTTATTACGAGGAAAACAAAGAAGACGACAATCTTTTGTTGCAATTTCTCTACTAGTACAAATACTCGTCAAGAGCTGAATATAATAATGCTTGCATATTTTTAAATGATATTGATTTATGAGTGGTAAAAATGTTGTTTTGAGAGCATTGTTTATTAGTTATGTCATCTGTGGCCATGTTACATAAAATCATCAAAGAGTCTTGGATTACCTCTTGCAGAATGTATATGAAGCGGAAAACAAAAATGAAAATCAAATTGTTGTTAATTGAAGTTTGAACAAAATCTTTTTAGAATTGATATTTTAAAGGACACATGAAAAACAATTATTAAAAATATTAGATATGCATTACAAAAGGAATTATTGCAAAAATTTATTTAATTCTTCCAATTTTGCTGATAATAAAACACCTTATTCTTGAATTTCAATTTTTGATTACAAAATTGATTAAATATAATCAATGCATGAATAAGAATTTGTAATCTCCCCATGTATTTTTATCTTATTTCACCAATATCTAACAGTGACAAAAGTCGCCTATAATAATCTTTTCCAAATTTTTCTTTTCCTCTATTTTCTCTAGCACCTTGAGCATGTCTTCAAATGGATATGAGCACTATACAAATCTTATTTATTATTATTATTATTATTATTATTATTATTATTATTATTATTATTATTATTATTATATAATTCTTAATCTTCAAATACACTCCAAAGAACAAAAATTACAGTTCATGCAAAAAAATTTAATATATATAGCATTGGGATGTTTTGAAAGTTAGAAATCTTGTTTTACACAAATAGAATTACATTGTACAAATCATACAGAAAATCAAGCTCCTCGGTATTCCACACACGTACTCTCTGCATTATGATCACATGGCTAATCATAGTGTAGAACTCCTCGTGAACTGTAAGTGCCCTGTTTACAGGAGATATCTAAATCCTCTCTGATGATCTTCATTGAAAGGAATTTTTCGGCCTGGTTGTTATCAATGATATAGCAACATCTAACAAAGAACTGTTGCAAAGATACAGGATTGCACGTGAACAAATACCCTTCTGTACACCTGATAGCTTTTCTGACCGTAACATTTCCATGATTTCAACTGTCAGGTATTTCTGCAATCATTACAATAACAGAGAGGATCAAACAAATAGATAATTTTTTATTTGATATTTAAATGTATCAAAATATACAAGTTTAAATATTTCAAAGCTTATCATTATGTTTGTAATTTTTTTAATTTTGATTATGCAAACTTAAAAACGAGTAAGAGAGAGTATGGTGCATTTAGATTTGTGTGCGATCATACTTTCGATCAGAATGTAAAGTTTATATATTTGCTGAAATTTGCAATGATCCAATTTATTTTCTCAATTATTCCTACTGGTAATTCACAGAATTCATAAAAATATAATGTTCTGGATTTTACCTACAAAATTTTGAATTTGTTTCTACAAAGTGTAATTGTGGTGCAAATATATTTTGTAACTATTTTTTTTTTTTTTAAACAGGGCTTTCACTGAACAAAAATTTAGTAATTTCTTGATAATACTTCAATATAAAACAAATGATGATGATCTATGCATTTTGGAATTTTATTCTAATAGATGTAATGTTTGCCCCTCCTTCTAGATTAGGTTTCATATGGTCTGTGGTTTCATAATCAAGCTTATGTTTATTTAGCTATCCTGATGAAAATTCAAACGATTAGGCCTACATTTTCCCAGATATTTGTCTTAAAGTTTTATTTCCCAGACAGTTAGGAGACATGTATTATAATAATGAGTTTTCTTCATGTAGATGATTCTACCATTCGCAAATTTTGAGGGCATTCTCTTTAAGGGGCTTCCATTAAACTAGATTATAATTTTATTTGCCTTTATCCCTGCATAACCTTTGTAGTACACTCATTGGAATTAAAGTGCATTGTTAATCTGCTTTGGGGTTATTGGTATATTGGTTGATGAAGATTTTGTAAATTAATCTTGTCTATTGTTCTACTGTCGGCTACTTCAATTCAACCATTCTATGTCAAGTTCTCCAACCTTTCTGTGTCGCCTACTTGAACTTCTAACGTTTACTTCAACTTCTAAAGTTGTCTACGTACTCTCTATGTGCTGTAGTTGTTCTTTCATTTAGTTTGACCTCCTGCAGTCCACTTGTATATTATATTCTGTCGTCTGCTTCCACACCTTATTTGGTTGTCTGCTTCCAAAACTACAAATTTTGTGTGCTTTCATCTTTTCTTCTGTCGTCTGCTATATCTTTTTCAGTCATCTGCTCTCGTATCTTTTTTTCGTCTACTCTCATAGCTTTTTCTGTCGTCTGCTGTCATAACTTTCTTCTGTCATCTGCTTTTACATTTCTTTCTGTCTCCTCTTCTGTTATTTATCGCTGTCTGTACTTGTTCTCTTCTTTTGAATAAAAACAGAAATATTTTAATATTTAAAGAGATTTTTTAAAAATCATGTTTAGAAAGGATTTTAAGAGATTGTATAGTTTTATGTTTTTGTTGAGTTAATAGGCTTGAACTGTAAAATTCAGTATTTGGTTTACCTATTTATACATAAAACATCATTAGCTTTCAATGAAAAGTTAGATTGAGAAAAGAATCACATAAATAACTGAAACTCCATCCTGTAATCTTTGCATAAGCCCTTCGATTGACTGGTAATCAATTTAAGGATTTTCGTTTGAAAAAAGTCAATAAATCCGCAAAGCTCCTTTGTTTTATCCGTGTCTTATTGGAAGTTAACAACAGTGGCGTATAAACTGATGGGGCCCGAAGTTGAAGCAGGAGATCAATGATTAGGTGAGAGGCTGCAGCCTGCAAAATAAGGTGATTTGAGGTGGTTATTAATACTTGAGCATGATTTTTTTGCTTCGAACATTTTTAGTGGGGGAGGGAGAAATGACTGGATGGCGTGCACATCCCTTGATAAGCCAATGAATATATTAAATATATTTGCATATATTTTTCCAGCTTTTGCAGACTTAATTCAATAAGTTTTTATAAATATTTAAGTAATATTATCTTTAGTGTAATACTCCAAATATAAAGGGTATTGGCCTGTGGAACAATCTTCCTATTTCCATCCGAAATGCTTGTAGTACTGAAGTCTTCAAAAAACTCTTAAAAGCTCATTTATTTCCTAAATAATCCTCTTCCTAAAATAAACCTTTTCTAAGCGCCTTGTATCCTTTGGCAAAAGGCGCTATATAAATTTCTATATTATTATTATTATTATTATATGTCCTAACTACACAAAAATCTTTCAATGATTACTTTTGTGAATGGAATATGTAAGCAATGTGGTGGAACAATGTAAATTACTCTTAATTCTGCCTATTAAAACATTTTGCTTGATTTGGACTCTTCACCTACCTCTCCAAAAACAGCAAAATCCTTAATCCACTATGTATTAAAATATTTACATTATATAGGATTTCATGGTACTTGTATCAGTAACAACGAATTATTAATTTGTTTTTCTAACAAGAACCAAGAGGAGATTACCATACAGAAAGGTTACCAATGTTTAATATTGTAAACATTTGTCTAGAGACAGCTGGAGAAGCAGTTGAAAAAACAATCGAAAATAATTCATGCATGAGTATATGTTCGCGTGGCCCATTGTTCTTATCAATTAGTGCTACAGGAGTAATATACGTTTGCTTTATTACCTCGAGACATGGGCCGGAAAATTGGTGAGGCTATTGTCCATGCATTTAGCCTTTCCTTATTGAAGTATTGTGAGTAATATTTTGTTACAAAATGTGTTACATTATCACACACCTTAGAGCTGCAGTTTAAATTTTGGCATTGTGAATAGATTCATGACCAATAAGAAAACTTTCTTTTTATTTAAAACTCAAGAATTTTTTCACAAGATTTCTAGTTATATTTCCGTTATATATTTTTTTAAATATATATACCAGGTTAGCATTCAAAAAATTGAAACAAAAAGCACCTTAAAAAATTTTTTTTAACATTTTATAAATAGAAAAAAAAAATCTATAAATATTAGTTATAAAAAGAATATTAAAATGCAATAGTCTCAAGCATTGCAGGCGTCATCCGTTTTTACTGGAAACATTCTCAAATATTGTTTCATTTTTTTTTTAAATATTTTATGTAGTAGTATATTGTAGTATCTCAGTTTTTCCGGTAGTATAGTTTATAATGTTTTCTAATAGGCCTATTAGGTATTTAGTGTTTCAATTTAAAATTTTAGTTTTCCCTTTTTTTTTTTTTTTTTTTTTTTTTTTTTTGCCAGTGTATAATTAAATTTAAACAGTTTTACAGTTATATTTTACATCTAGATGTTTTCAACATAAACTTACAAAATGTATATGTATTTACCTTTTTAAGATAATATCACAATACACTAGTTGTATCCCACTATATTTTGCAGATTTATGTTTCTAGTGGGAGAAATTATTTGTTTTTATTATAAATTTTCAACATAATATATTAAAACATATTTTTTTTTATCGGAAACTCAAAAAATTCAAGTTTGTTTAATATCTCAGTGTGACGCGAGGTGCAACTCACACATTTTCTGTTTGGGAGTGTCTTTTCTGATGGGAGTAATCCATTCTTTGCCATATGCGGAGTCGGCAATGTTTAGACTAGATAACAAAACTTGTCAAGAATCAATATCAAAACCAAACTACAACAACCTGATTGAAGAGGTTACTCAACTGTCAAAAGACATTCTAGTTGCAAACAGAAACAATTGAAGGATTTTAATTTATGAAAATATTGTGTTGACCTATGGTGAATGTACTTAAATCTACACTAGAAGGAATTTATTTAATAATGCAAACATGCAGACGAAAAATATCACAGATATAAAGCAAGAAAAATAGCATAGACAGACACAACTAAATGAAGTACTGTATTAAACTGAATATTTAAAAAAAAAACTTGAAATGTATGAATAGATATATAAACTTCCCTTGCATTGGCACCAGAGAATATGAGTTTAGAACTATGCAATTTATTTTTATTCATAAAATATGCAAATAAAAATGTTAGCAATTATTTGATCAGATCGTAATTTGTAATTAAGTAACTAATTGGTCTTTTAATAGGTACAAAGTGCTTCTAATGTGAATAATTTTGTATACATTGAACACTTGCGGAATATTTAATTTGTTATCTGCTTGGATTAACAAGGCCTGATGTTAGGCAGGTAAAGAGGATAGTTTTCCTAGATTGTCACAGTGGATAAGGTAATAATGAGCATTAGGGCAGGCATGGGCTGTCTATCACCCTGATACCAAAAAGTAAGCCTGGAGGGCCTAGACAGAAAGGTGAATCAACAGTGCAAACGTTAAACTGTAGCACACACTGCATCGGGTTCAAAAGCCGAAGTTTATTACATAAGATCATGATGACACCTCGCAAGTTAAGTCATTCCCATCAACAGTCCGCTCAGATTCCCACCAACGGTCAGTGGATTGACGTTGCGCAAGGCAAGCGCTCTCAGACAGAGAATACAAATTTATCAACCGCATGAAAAACCATATTTAACCTATTGGATTATAATTTTGTTATGATTTTTCTTTATCAAATTAGCATTTTTTGATAGGGTCTTGGTCATACATATTTTTTTTATTCACAATAGATCATAATCTTTTTATTTGCTTTATATCGACCGATCACTAAGGTTTGGTGTAATGTATAATGTCAAAATAGAAAATAGATAAAAATAAATATCATCATGTAATTCTATCTTCACCAATTTTTCTCAATCAAAGACTTGGCATCTTAGCTCAATTGGTAGAGAATAGGATGATGGGCTAAATGTCTCACATTTGAATCCGAATCCCTACAGGGATCACAGACAGTACGATAAGAAAAATGTCTTTTACATCAACGGGTAAAATGCAAGGCCTATTAAAACATCATTAATTGTCAAAGAAAAATTATTGCAATAATATCAATTCATTTTAAAAACTTTGAATTTCATCTCAAGTTTTTATTTCCATGATTTTTTTTGTCATTGTGAAAAATAATTTTTTCATGAGAAGTCTCTAAAGCCATGTTTTTTTTTACATCATATAAATCATTGATGATTTTATCATCATTTTTTTGTCAGTATGATGAACTTTCTTATAGTTCATTCATTAAGCAACATGAACAATTGTTTTAGTTCATTGCCTGTATGCCTGATTCTGAACTTTGTTAATGATGGTCTTGTGTCTATGTATGATTGTGAATTTCTTCACTCAACCAAAGAACATTTATACCAAAGCTGCTTCTAATGTGCCCAGATTTGATGTGCAGGTTTTTCTAAGGACTCCCATTAATTGTCAATAGCAGATTACACAAAGGACGCAAAACAGTTTTTAATATCAATGTTGAATTCTCCTATAAATGTTGATTGCTGTGCGGAGAAGATCGTAATTTGAGGGTAAATTACACAAGAATTCCGTCTCCGCAAGCTAATCTACATTTGATAGTTTGACTCTGGTGCCGTCAAACACACTGCTTGTTTTTGCGCTGCCAGTTGGCTCCGCGAGTCATCAAGGCTGTGTATTGTGGAATCGAGTCAGCATGGGTCTAAGCTCTCAATTGTCTGGTTTCGTCAGGGCGGAAACACCTTAATTATCTCATCAAAACCAGTGATGTTTTTTACATATGTTCCTTCAATTGGCCTTAATTATGTCAGCCTCTTTTATTATTCCTTTGCGGCTAACCTGTGATCTATTTTCATAACTATTACAGATATTTTTTTTGTCGTCATTGAAAACACCCGTTAGCTTTGAATTTTGGTCCACAAGTGATTTTGACTTTGTTGTCGCCTTGTTTGGCCTGGTAATTCATTATTAATTTAAGAGAGAGAAAACTCCTTGTTGCTTCCGTATGCCATCAAATAATCTAACACAGTCTATCTATGCTTTATAAACAAGGTTTGATTGAGACTTAGCAAGTAAAGCTATTTTAAGTTGTGTGAATTTTAAGTCTTGAACTAAAATCTCAAATCAACAAGCTCTCCACTACTGTGCTAATGTATTTTGGTGTTACAATTACTGACAACAGATTGCAAGACAAGCCCAATGGTCTACAAATTCGCAAAGACCCTGTGCAAAAGCAAATTCATTCACTAAGTGAGAGTCTGATCTTCAATATTTACGAAGAATTGTCTGGCGCTTAATACGCAAGATGTTTATGGAATGGAATGAGCTTAAAATTCCAACTCTAATGTACCATTGAAAAAACAATTTCTAAATTCCTTGTTTTCTTCCAGAATGCAAAAGCTAACTATTCATCAGGGTATAGTTAGAGTAATTTTGATTGTTTGTTTTATAGTTACATTAGCTTAGCGACTAGAAAGCGGAAAATTAAGTTCTTGTTAAAAGACGTTTATCTATGAATAGCTGAAGCAGTAAAATCTATTGAATGCATTTTCTCCAAGTTATTTATTTATCAAGCTGAAGTTTGTTGGTTTGAATAAGTTATTGTTATTTTTAAATTTTGTAAAGAATCTGGTGCTAATGTCGATGCACATTTCTCTATTGTGTCAGTCAATTGCAACGTGGCCTTGTAACCAGATTAATAATTTTAATTACGCATTTAATCGCATCACTAAATACTCCATACCCTTATTATACCCATAATCCTCTAATAATAATCTATAGGCCTACACTGTTTTTCTTTTAAATAAAAATTGGTATGATTTATTCTATGTAAATTTAATGATAAATTTTGTTTTTTGCAGGTTCCAAGCCCAGGTCCAAATTCCCCAAAGAGAACAAGATCACAAACGCGACGATCGAACACAGAAAAAATCCAAGAGGTAGGTTGGATAGATGAAACAAGAACTAGGTCTTAATAAGACATGATGATTCAGCTATATACATTAAATATCCATCTCTGCAACTCCAGATACGATACACACGTTTTTATAAATGCATTTACCAAAAGTACTTTTCTATTACAACACTTTTAATACATTTTCACGTTCTTCCTCAGGTTTTAAAAACTTCAACGGAAAAAGAGAGCGAGCCGCCATCAATTATCCAGCCACAAGATGGTGGATATTGGATTGATGGTATCCATGACGATTCCCCAAGGAGCCTGGAGATTAAACAAGAAACAGAACACTTAACGTCAGAGAATAAACTAGAATTTGATGACACCGCTAAAATGTACCGGCGATATTTCCTAGGCAAGGTTAGATGGTGCAAATAATTATATAATTATCTGTTACGAAATCGTCTATTACATAATTATAATGATATAATGTCAGTTTCTAGGACTTAGTGATGTTTATGGCAATTGGAAATGCATTATAGCACAGATTATGATGTTGATGTGTGGTGGAAGTGATGCCAATACAATGTTTGTGAATAATGGGGATAAAAAGAATGGTAATGATTATGATTACTGTATGCTGGCCGAGGTAGACATGATGGTACAATATTCATACTTAATACAATGTCTAGATAATTTTCTCATGATTGAAAACAATTCACCAGTTCTTTTGCCTGTTGTGTATTCATTCTTGTAATTTGCTTTGTTCCTTTCTAACAAAAGTTATATGTTATCTTTCTAATAGGAACATCTTAACTATAGTGCCACAGATGAGAACCTGGGACCGTTAATACTATCGGTGAAGCAAGAAGTCATCGCGTCACAGGACTACATAAGGTTAATGCTGCGGAGTCGTAGCCGAACTATACACGAGTTGCTTCCAAATTCCTGCCTAGGTGACTCCCAGTTCTTGCCAGCCAAACTTGCTAAGGTAAAGCAAACTGATATTAGGTAGTTTTCGCCACACGACATTAACCTTAATTTTAATGTTAGTACCCAACATGCAGCGTAATAGCTCCGCCCCTTTTGTAAACAAAGCGAAATACACATGCGCAGACCCGTAACTAACGTACGTCAAGCACGTAAAATCCTTAAATTAACTTAGCAACGCAAGATGAATAAATTATGACGTCATCCGTTAACTGCAAAATCTGCCTATTATTTATAAATTTTCCTAATTCGTTGTCCATTAGAGTCAAATACCACAGGATAATAGTTTTTTAACTTTTTTTTAAATTATTTTATAATATATATTTATTCTTTTTTATGTGTCCTTTATGTAATTTATTATTTTATGTATATTTTTAGAAAAGTATAATAATACAGTACCAAAAATACTTTCCTTGTTCATTGGTGCGTAGGTCTCTATATTTGATGAGGGAGAATTAAAGTTATATTCGGTTATGACAGATTTCAAAAAATTCTACCTAACCTAGGCAAATTGCATATTATGTTTATAGAAATCTGATTGAAGATTATTAACTTTAATTGCCTTGTCTCTGTATCATGTATCGTCAACTAATGTTTGGATGATATATTTTTTCTCCAGCGTCTTGAAGATGAAATTTCAGTAGACAAAATGCATCCTATCTTGTTCCTAAAGGTAAGATTCCAATTTTTGGTTTTATTGGCATTTTAATGAGTTGAAATAGATACACAAGAATTCATTGCACCGCAATTACACACAATTAAACACTAAAAAAGAAATTATTTAAACATATTCATCAAGTTTAAGATTTCAATTTTTGTTAAACTTGTAAAAATACACCCGAGTTTGTACACCTTTATGTATTTCGTCAGCAACCGCATATATTTGTTCTATACATCAATGAAAATTTGCTGAGTATTAAAGAAACTTGCATCTCTCATTCAGAAATAGACTATATTATTCATTCATTCGTTCAATATTTTTAATTCGGAAAACAAAAATTTCCATTAAAAAAATTTAAAATATTAGAAAATTATTATATATTATGCAAACATTTTTAGAATAAATAATTTCCTGTTAATTCTTCAAACAGTTTATATTGGAATGCTAAGAACTTTGTACTTTATTATTTCAAAAAGTGTTGGTGATTATTTCCCTATGTACCGACCAATCACAATAAAAGCAAAGGAAACAAAGTTGATGATGTAAATTGAATTTCAAAGTTTTAAATCAAGGTGCTTTAGTACACAATGCAAATGTTATTTGTAGAAAAATGTATATTTATGCAGAATTTTTCCTATCATTTCAAAGAAATAATATAAAACATTGTATTTTCTATTATTGAAAATATTGTTATAGTATGATATCTTTGATGTTGAACAAATGTTGCACTGAGATTTATTTGAAGTGAACTAAATTTGACCTGGTCATCTGAGAATGACGTCAACTTGTTTGTTTTCATGCTTTCACTGTTGATTGACTTTCGGTCGATGGACAACCTTTCTAAGAATTACAATTTCTGAATTCCCAGGGATCTGAGCTCATCGCAGCGTACGATGAACATGCACTGGTGAATAATTTCAAGTTTGGTGTCATCTACCAGAAGCATGGGCAAGCGACGGAAGAGGAGCTGTTTAGTAACCGCACCTCAAGTCCCGCGCTCGACCAATTCTTAGGAATTCTAGGAGATAAAGTGCAATTACTCAACTTTTCAGGGTAAGCTTGTGACGCTTTATTTATGAACTTATGACCCAATAGGTAATAAACTCATGACCCCATTGGTCACACACTCATGACCACTAGGCCACAAGCCTAGTTTATTTAGAATCGTACTAAAATAACTGAAATACATATATTAAAATTACAATTGACATCAATTGTTATAATTTCGTCACATTCTTTTGTAACCTCTGTAGCAGACAGGGAGTTGCAGCATATAAACATTTATTGTGTACAGAAGTTTAGCCTAATGTAGGGCTGTGACAAATATTTCTCAGATAAGGTTTATATCTTTAATTTTATTTGTTATGTGTTTTGCAGCTTCCGCGGAGGACTGGACGTGAACCATGGCCAGACAGGATCGCATTCCATTTATACCAAACACAAAGACAAAGGCATCATGTTTCACGTGTCAACAATGTTACCGTATACCGACGGTGATAGGCAACAAGTAAGGATGCTACTTTACTTGCTTTTACGTAGGCTCGCAATGAACTATAATGCACACTCAAGTGGTCTGCAATTTCTCATAATGCAGCGGTCTGCAATTTTCCCTAATGTAGTGGTTAGAATTGCTGTAATTAGGGCCTACTGTGATTTTGAATTGTATAATGATATAACCGTACAATATTTTGAAATCAAATTATGCTATGGTTATTATGAGTTACCTTGGTGTATAAATCACTGTCCAGAATATCAATTTTACTTGACATAAACATGTGACATGTCCAAATATGGTCATGGTGACATCATATCATGACCATATATAGGCACATCATGACTAAATATGGGTATGCAACAGTTTTTGTCAAAGAAAATTTGTCTGGACAGAGACGATCAACCAACAATAACATTCTGAAGATGGAGTGTTTTGTGATTTACTTTAATTTAAAATGTTACTAAAATATCGCGCTCAACGTTAATGATGCTCATTAGGTTAAACTTTTTTTATATCTACTTATAGTTACAAAGGAAGCGACACATTGGGAATGATATCGTAGCAATCATTTTCCAAGATGAGGCAACACCCTTTATTCCAGATATGATAGCTTCAAATTTCCTTCACTCGTATATAGTTGTCCGACCAATTGAACCAAACACAGCAAACACAAGATATGAGGTATGTAATCTAAACCAACAGTTGTTAAAAAAAAAACATATTACATTACACTATCAGAATAATCCAGAAAGTAAAGCTGTATTCACACTATTAAATTTTATGTGACAAATAAATGTGATATGCCCATATTTGGGTGTAATCAATCAATCAATCAAAATAACCTGTATAGTGCCAAAATCCATCACATGAAGTAATGTTCGGGGGCGCTGAATGACATCATGGCCATATATAGGCACATTACATTTTATTTTGTCATATAAAATGTTGATAGCGTGAACAGACCTAAAGGACGTGCAGAATACAACATCCACAAGAGGAACGTGACATCTACACATTTCCTTTGTGCCCAATAATCAACATACTCTTAAACTTTCCTATTCTTTTTTGGCAATCAATTTATCTTGTGACTATATGTAGAATAAAATGATGTGACTTTATTTCCAGGTTAGCGTAACGGCAAGAGAAGACGTGCCTTTGTTCGGCCCGGCGTTGCCATCACCACCTGTTTTCAAGAAGGGGACCGAGTTCCGAGAATTTTTACTTACGAAGCTTCTTAATGCTGAGAATGCCTGCTACAAGGCTCAGAAGTTTGCAATGATCCAGGTAATTAATGATAGTTGATAAATAAGTATTAAGTGTTATATTTACTGGATACTATCTAATATTATGTATTTGACTAATAAATATTAATTTATCTATTCTCAGTAAATGAATAGTTTTTAGGTATCTATATTACAATGCATATTTCAAAGCCTAAAATCACAGTGTATAACCCATTACATCAGATAATAATAATAATAATAATATCTCAAATTTATATGGCGCCAATTCCAAACAAGATCAAAGGCGCAACGCATGTGAAAAGTCACCGGAAAATAGGTCTTAAGCTGTGAATTAAAGTAGCAAATAGAGTTGGATCCAGAAAAAGGCAGAAGCAAAAGTAAAAAAAACATTGGATCCAAAACCTACTGGTCTGCAAAACTAAAACATCATAGATCATTCAACTCTTCATCTCAGAAAATTAAAAATGTTTGTGTATTTCCATCTGTAATTAGGCCAGTCTTCTTGTTGTGGTCATAAATAATTGTTCTATTTTAACAAAACTAATTACGATGTTTAACATACTACAGGGTAATATCATACATATTTGCTATAGTAATATAATTATTCATTGGGTCTACAAACCTGTTTTTCAAGAATTGGTCTTTACAGCCATCAACGAGGGATTGCCTCTGATGATGATAAAGATTAAATATCCATTATTATAATATATTAGATTCTTATTAAAAATATTTATGTATGCAGTTTAAACATATGAATATTAGATTGTCATTAATAATTTGTGTTTTTGACATTTACAGGAGAGAACAAAGAAAGCCTTATTTGATAATTTATATTGTCAACTCACGGAGAAAAATCAAGTTCTACTGAATACGATAGTGGAATCTCAAATCATTCCGGGAATGCCACGTGGAAGCGAGAACAACAACAGCTCCAGTATCCTCGATTCCTTTAAGAATGCGTTTAAGAAATCAAAATCAACGGAGAATGGAACAATAAAATCAAACGGTGTTGTAACACTCAGCGTAAACCAAGAGCCAGTAGAAAAAACTAGCCCATCTGTAAGTACCATCATCAATACATTTATAAGAATTTATTTTATTTAAACCATATTTAGTGAGGGTGACCCATTCAGCTCACCATTACTGGTCACATGTTTTAGGGGGCATAAAAAAATACATCGATAAAATTTTCTCTAAAACTGACGTAATAAAATGATTAAAGTTTAAAGCATATTTAAATTCTCCAAACATTTTACATTTGTGAACAGTTATTACAAGTGCATTTATTTTTGGTTCATATTACATGAAATTTGGTAGGTAAAATCTGGGGAATACCCTGTTGAAATGTTACATTGCATAGCATATTCAAAAGTTTATAAGGAAAACAGAAGAAAAAATGACAAAATTCAGCGATACACAAAATGATAACAATTTGTAGTTGTAATAATAATATTACAAATTAACAGCAAAAAAGTTAATAATTTTGGTTTAAAATAGCACCTTTAAGTTTGCTTTAAATTCTCAACATGTTTTATGCATTTATTTTTGGTACCTGTGCATAGAAAGTGTTGTAAAATTTGGGGGAATCCCCTATTGAAACCTTACATTGCAGAATCAAATAAATTAACTTAAGCTCCATCGAGTCTATCAAATTTTATTTGACAAAAACATGTGACATGCCTAAATATGGTCATGATGACATCACATAATGACCATATATAGGCATATCATGACTATATTTGGGCATACAGCTGTTTTTTGTCAAAGAAAATTATATGATCTGCACAGAGTTTTACAATGAGACACAGATTATAATAATTAGGTTTTCACTGATTTAAAGATTTTTTACTACAAAATAATTTATTTTAATTGATTACCAGGAAATTTAATTTAGTGTATCAAAGATTATAGTAATTAAAAATAGTTCTGATAAAAATAGTTCCTCGTATGTTTTATTGATTGGTAATAACTCATCTAAATATAAGATGTTACACTATTCCTCAAATAAAAACCACTTTTGGGACTGAGGTTTTTACAGTCTTTAGCAACTTTTTTTCTATAATTAGAACACTTATCAAAAGATAAGAAAGACTGCGGAAAAGTGTTTTTCAATTTTAAGTGGTCTTCAATTTTAAGTGGTCTTCAATTTTAAGCGGTCTTTAATTTTTAAGTGGTTTTTAATTAGATATAGAATATATCCAGTATCTGTCCATATAAGTGTTTAGAGTAATTTTTAAAGGAAATAAATAGATTAAAATCAATATTTCATTGAAAATATTGTCACAAATGATATTTAAGAGATAAAGTTGTTTTTCTTATTCACTTTTTCTTGCCTTGTTTCTTATAATTTCATTTTTATGTATCTTCCAGACAAAGACAAGGTTTATGAAAATGCAAAGAAATAACTCAGGAGGACTGTTGATGAACATGGAAGATGGCAGTGCTAGTGAAAAATTAAAAAGGAAGGATAGTAAGAAAAAGAAACTAACTTCAAGGTATACAAATAAACAGATGCTTTATTTATTTATGTGTTTGATTAATTGTTTTGTTTGATTTATTTTGTAATTGATTGTATGTGTACTTTTTTAAAATGCATTATATTTAACTTGTGTGATTTCACTTTTTTATTTTTACTATAATTGTATTCAATTTATAACAAATTAACACAACACAAATGTAATAATAGTAATAATAATAATATATAAATAATGTATTATATGGCTTAGTGAATTATATATATTGTATATATATTAAATTATTATATGTATTTAATTATTATTATTGGGTTTTTATAGGGATAGTGTGCTAAGTCGGTCATCACACACATCTGACAGTAGCAATGACAGTCAGCCGTCAGCTAAAAACTCTGGCTCTTATCACTCGCTACCGAGCACACCAGACGTATCACATAACCGATACTTTCACCGCAATCTAACGCCAAGCAACTCGTACGACAGCTTTAATAGCGAGGAGGATCAACAGCACTATCTCGAGGATTCCGACACTGGAGTGGTTAGTAGTGGCCTTTGCCTCAATTGCAATGTAATTCTATATTTTATATACATTTTCTTCTATTAACACGTTTAATACTGCTTGAAACTATAGTCTTTACCTATAACTTCAGAGAGTATGAAACAAACTATGGGGGAAAATGTGATGTAAGGCATCCAGTGGTGACACCGGGGTGGGGGGGGATTTAATCCACCAGTAAACATACCAAGCCCCTTGTAAACCATGAATCATCGGACCAAGAAAAAAATTGCATATAATTTACATTGTGTATTAGTACAAAGCTGCTTAAAAGGTTGGCCCCTTTTCTTTAAGCACTAGAGATAAGCCCCTTGAAAATTATTTATCTAGATTCTGACTGCTCACTGGACTCCCCCCAGAATTGTCCCTTCCTGTTGGACAGATTTCCCCCTCCATGAAAATATATTCTATAGCTACCTATAACACCACCGCGATCCAATGTTTTTTGTTTCATACTTTCTTATTCCGCTTGACTTTGTGCTCTGCTCAAATTTCTGATAACACATAAATAACTTGAATTATTACTAATCTGTATCATATCTGGGCACATTTATTTGTGGGTAAACTTTGTAAAAATAGATTTTTTCTGTGCTGTTATATACTATTATCTGTTCTTTGTTGAGACCCGCAATGAACAACAATAATTAAAACATTTTTGAGTTGTTTGAATATTGTGAGTTACATAATTGTATGTAAAACTAATGATAATGTTTATCATTAATCTTTTAATTATAATTGTATATAATAATTATAATTATAAGATTAATTATAGAATGCACAAATTCCCTCTTTTGCTCAAGACACAAACACTACTAACAAAACTTGTTAAATGTTTATTCATTTAGTTGTATTTTTGCACAAATGCAAATTAAATGTATATTACTTGTAGATAATTGATAAAGTGTTTATAAGTGTGTTATAAATGTTTATCATTAATAGTTTGTTATTAGATATAAAATTTATTTATTTTTACAAAATTCTTGTGAATATTATTTCCATGGTGATATAATATTGTAAAAAATTAATAAGTATTTGTATACGTAATATAGATCATTATATATTAAACAGGTCTCTCTAATAAAAGACCCCACCAAAAAGAACCCCCTTCAATTAAAGACGCTTTCTACAACCACAGATTTACATCATTTTACCTTATGTCCAAACAGCTACACACTATCAAACTACAATCTAAAAAGTGGTCTTCATTAGAAGGGAAGCCTGTATAACCTTAAATCATAATTGATATATATATATATATATGTGTGTGTGTGTATATAAATATATATATAGTATGATGTATATACATATATATACATATTGATATTAAATAAATTATTTTTCTTTTACTAAATTTATATTTTCTAACAATAATCACATATGCATGAAAAATATGTAACATAAATCTTTTATTAATATACTAACAAATTAATTAATTTTATATATTTTTGTATTATATTCAGATAATATTAATTGTAAAATGTTTATAATGTCTTGACTTACTTTCCAATTTTTATTAAATATTCATCGTTTTTAAATCATCAGGGAAGCATGTCTTCCGGGTGTGCCTCAAGTAACAAGCCAAGCCCAACGGCAATCGTCTGCACATTCTGTCAGGAAGGGGGTAAATGCTCAATAGCATTACAACAAGAATCAGAAATGAACAAAATGAAGGCAGAAATGGATAAAATGAAGGAAGAGAATATTGAACTACTGCAACAAAACATAGTAAGTTTTTCTTCTAATTTTGTTTATAAAAATTCATTAAAAAATCATCTTCAAAACTTCTGTTACTGTGTAACGCCCACAAAGAATGTTTGATTGTTGTGATATGACATCATCATCATTATTATCGTCATGCACATATTGGCAAATTTGTTACATAAAACTACACAAAGAATATTCTCATTCTGGCAGCTCTAAGATATACTTTAATGGTGAGCTGTCCTAGCCTCAGGCTAGTGGGTTCCAGGTATGAATAATGTGGTAGGAGTCAAGGGATCTAAGACCTTTGGTGTCTGGAAATCCTGGACAATTTTGAGCATTTTTAAGCTGTTTTGAGAAGTTTTATAATGCACCCAAGTCCAAAAAATGTTTTGGACCCACAAGTATTAACGTATGGCGGTTTGGCCTCTCCGACTGGTGGAGGGGGTTGGAGGCTTATGTTTCATTCCTCAATTGGCATCTCCACTGTATAATCATAAATAATTTGAGTTAGAGTTGTACAAAAGTGTAAATTAACTATTAAAATCTTTTTTCTTACAGCGGTGCCATGATGAGATGCAAACATTACGAGAACGAGACCAGCAGAACACGGAAGAACTTACCTTAACGAAGAAGGAACTCCTAAGATTGAAAGAAGTCAATCGAGGATCTGTTTCCGATGTTTAAAGCGAAAAAAATATATACAGACTAATAAATAAGCTAAAAAAGAGATATTTATTTTCGTGACGTGGAGATTTTTATCGTAGCTCGCATTGAACGCTTGAATGGACAGTAAGATTTTTTGAATAAAGACTAGTTGTCAATTCATTTTATGAATTGACAACTTGCAATTCACAAGGATTGTGTATATATTCAAGCCCAAATGATAACGAGGACAGATTGAGTTACATCATGAAATATGTTGATATGTTTTTTTAGGAGAACAGTGGAGAATAAAGAAAAAAACAAGATTTGATCCTGAAAGAAATATTATTTGTACTCAGTCATGCTCTGGAATATATTGAAGACAGCTAATTGTGAATAAATTAACAAGGATGTAGATTATTGATTGATATTGGTTGATGTATTGATCATTATTGTAGCATTGTTCGATCAGTCACAATTTCCCATGCTTAACATCTAAATCAAATCCATGCTCGTCATTGTAATTGCTGTTGTATCAATAGAGGGAGTGCTGTATGACTTGCCTTCAGTTGATCATTAAAAAGGTGCAATTAATGTATAATACAAATTTACTTTTATATGATATTATAAAAAGATGGTTGAATAGATTATCGAGTAGGGGTAAAACTGTTTAAAGAGGGGGTTTTTTGTTTGTAAATATAATATATACATTTAACTCATCATGGTCAACAATTCTTTTATGAAACTATTTTAAAATTATATTTTTAAAATGTTTAAGATAATTTTTAAATGAAGATTCATTTGTTATAGTGTTGGTCTAGAATTAATTATTTATCAAATTGGTTGTTTATTTATCTTTACTTTCTGAGTGTTTAGGCCTAAAATAAGGACTTTTTAATTGTTATTCACAATGTGTAGCCTTATTTTCCTCTGTTGTGAAAAGTTTGTTTTATCCAATATATATATGTAATTATGTCAGAAAGATGTTGGTATAAAATTTAAATATCAGAATTGAAGTTCATATGCAACCAAAATACATTGCTGAAACTGATGGGGAAGTGTTACCATGACTGTATAGCAATTGCATCATGGGACTGTTATGATTTGAAAATTGAAACTTCATAAAGTAACTGAAGTTGTAGTAAACTAAAGTAAAGTGAGTTGAGATTGTTTATGTTTATACAAATATCGTTTTGTGTTTTATTGAACAAAGTGAATTGTTAATCTTTATGTTAAATTTGTTTATACATTTTTTTTTTCTCATAGAAATATATCTTTGGTCTGTTTTGTAACATGCATTTCTATAATCATGGGTTAAAACGTCAAATACAATATTTAATTTTACTTTTCTGAAATATTTCCAGCAACCAATCAAATATCAGCCTCATAAACATATCAAAAGTTGAGTTTGTAAATTGTAAGTACTGTAACAATATGTTTTCCCCTGTATAATAAAAATAACTATAAAATATCATGTAGTAAATTTAAATATGAGATTGTAAAATAAAATGTATATTGATACGTAGGCCAAACATTGTGTGGAGAAGATTAGAAATACAGTAATGTGTTATTATTACCTCGTGGTCACTGGACCCAGAAAATCGTTTTTTAAATGCACATTTTGGGAGGATAATTCTAGTAATTTTAAAGTAGTTTTGCTTAATATCATAATTGTTTAACTTATTAATTAATTTATTAATAAATCTTGAGATTATAACTGAGCATTCATCTTCATATGACTGGATATATGGGAGAAGCATTAAAGATCTAAAGTTGCAGGCTGAAACGTTGCAATTTGATAAATTTTGAGGATTCATCCTACATTGTCTGTTAAAAATGAAACATCCAGAATTCTCAATTCTTGATTGGTTACAGAGCACTAAGGTACAAATGGATACCATTTCATCTATAGTATGCACTTTTGACCTTTGGAATAATAAGTGCAACATTGTCTGATGAGGCTACTTTAATAACATATTTTGATACCAGTATTTCAAACAATGGCCCAATTATGAAAACTATAAGGTTTCTCATCCAGGTTTTATGAAAAATAAATGAGGATGATTATCCTTTTTTTTTTTGCTACAACAAATACACTTTGTTGCATGTACGTCTCTGGCCTACACATGGATACCATTGCCCATAAAATGTAAGACATTTTACCTTGTGTAAAAAAAACGATATATAAGGGAACAAGAAACATTTGATATTATGCTTTGGCCTTATATAATACTATTATGTAACATCGAAAATCACGTGCAGAGGTGCTCCTGAGGAGCAAGAACAATTAATTTATAATGTTTGTTAGGTTTACCTCAGCACTTATTGATGTTCAAATTTGACCTCAATGGTTTATTTGTTGTACAATTGTAACTTGTTGAAATTTGACTCCAATCTTTGCTTGATCAAGTGTTAAATTGATTGTAATTGTCATGCATGCATCAAGTACTACTTAAAAACATCTATGATTTGATGTGTAGATGTTTAAAAAAGCAAGCAAGGCAGTTATAGATGATGTATTCTCGGCCTAATTCCATCACCGCTGCCGTTATAAATAATATTGCAAGGCCTGGTAATGTCAAATTACCACTTGTTCCTTCAGAGAATGTACTTAAATGTTACACAGTGGCGTCCTTTGCACAACGAGACTGTACAAAGCTAAAAAAACCGGACCAGTCATGCCTATATGTGGGTGAAAGTCATAACACCCCAAACATTGAAAATGTGATGTTCCTTGTACACCAATTTTATTGTATAGTTCTGTGTATACAAATCATGTTATAAGTTCAGAGTTTTGTATTTATTTTTCTTCCAATGTCTGACATATGTTGGTCACTGTAAAAGTGACTAGTCTTATCCTAGTCCATTATGAAATAAAGCACTCGACCTACTGTCGGTAATTATAAGTATCATTTACTGTTTTCTCATTTTTCGTTTGTCATACAACTTAATGTAAGTTTATCAAGCGAGATTTTTCTGTATATTGTGGTTTATCTATATAAATCATCAAAGAAAGGTAAATACTGTGTTCGAATAAAGGACATAATAATATATCGTGTAGCATAGCTCTCAACGAATGCAGTCTGATAAATAAATGAATAAAAAAATTGTGTAATAAAATGCTCTGACAGGATTCGAACCTGTGACCTCTCGCTGTCAATGCGAGCGTCATAACCATTAGACCACAGAGGCTTCATGGTTGAACAGATTCAAGTACCGCCCGATACACTCCATTACACAATAGGTACAGATCCTAAGAATGTTAAAATCAGCAGAAAACGACTAGGTGAAAATATATAATATTTTTGGCAAAAAAGAAAAGGATGTAGTTCTTGGTTTTTGTCTAAATTGGGAGATTTTTTTACACTGCCATTTTCTTGTAGTTTTGTGTTCTTTTACACCTATGGATCATACGAATCGATTTTTTTACCCTGACATTCGGTTTTTTGGTGTTCCTCTGACGCCTATTGATCATTCGAATATGTTATGTGTTACCTACGGACCCTCAGAATGGAAGAATCAGCAGAAAAAGACTAATTGAGAAATAGTCCATTTTTGGCAAAAGGTGGCTAAGGGAGGTAGGCCTACTATTATTTCCCACACCGTTTTTGTCTAAATTGGGCGATTTTTTTACCCTGCCATTTTCCTGTAGTTTTTGTGTTCTTTTACACCTATGAATCATACGAATGTGTTCTGTGGCGCCTTCTGACCCTCAGAATAGAAGAATCAGCTGAAAAATAGCCCAATTTTGGCAAAAACTCTAAGAGTATATTTCACGGTTTTGCCGAAATTGAGCGATTTTTAAACCCTGACATTTTCCTGTAGGTTTGTGTTCTCTGACACCTATTGATCATAGGCATATATTTTGTGAAACCTATGGACCATAAGAATGGAAGAATCGGCAGAAAAAGACTAATAAAATTAGTCCAATTTTGGAACAAAACGCTAAGCTCACGGTTTTTGTTGAAATCGGACGATATATTTACCCTGACATTTTCCGGTTGTTTTGTGTTCTCTGACACCTACTGGTCATACGAATATGTTATGTGACACCACGGACACTAAGAATGGAAGAATCAGCAGAACGACTAGACGGTGAAAATAGTCCAATTCATAGTTCACGGTTTTTGTCGAAACGTTACTGTACTTTAGCTGTACAGCTACAGGTTTTCGTTAAACTTGGGTCATTAATTATGCAGTTAAATTC